GGAAGGTGTATTCCCCCTACAGACATCTATCTAATATGAGTGGTGTGTTATCTTCAAATTGTTGTCTAATCTTACGACTGCACAAAAAATAATTAGAATGTGTATAATACTTTCATATTTTCCAAAGTGATTGCATCAGCCTTCAACTCTTCAAACTTCTGGCATCCATTTCAACATTCATGTCTCGAGAAGTCAAATTTCTAGAAAATGCTTTTGAAAAACTCAATAGTGGAAAGGAACAAGGCTTTTCTTTTTATCCTCAGGGCTTTATTTCTATTATGACTTCTTTTGAAACTAATATCATATGTTGTGATTTCCGCCAGCCTTGTGTGAGCCTCATAGTATTCTTATGAGCTATTTTAATATAGTGATGAAAGCCAGATGATCTGCATTTAAGCCTGGCTCTGTCACTTACCAGCTGTGTGGCCTTGAACAAGTTAAATAACCTCTATCCTCCTCACTTTCCTCATCAGTAAATGGGGATAATAATAATACCTCTCTCAACGGGTTGTTGCAAGTAGTAATTGAATAGTGAAACACTTAAATGGTGTCTGGCACAGAGAAAGAGCTGACATTATTATTAGTTTTCAGCAGGCGTTATTTTCTTCTTGCTGTGGATAACTGAGACACAGAAGGTCAAGTGACTTGCCTGATGCCGAATTTTATGTCAGATCCTCCTGCCTCCTTGTCCAGTGTTCATCCTGCTGCAGGCAGGAAGTGGGGAAGGGTCCAGCAGGACCTTTCTGCAGAGGATGAGGTGGGAGGAAGGGTCTGCGAAGCTATGTTTGGAGGAAGAACTCTTATAAATAGCATCTCACACAGGGTGAGCTAACAGTTTATGCCAGATGAGAAGTGGATAAATGATTTTACAAATTAAGTAGCTCCTGAGAGACTAGTGTGTTATTTAAAACAAAACACACCTCTTCTCCCTCCCCCGGTGAGTTATTCTGGTAGAAATTGGTAGGTTTTTTGGAAGAGATCTGCCTGGCAAAGAAATGGCTATTTAGTACAGCCAGCTTTCTCTTGCTGCTGTCAGTTTCTCAAATCCCTCTTAATTGCATTTTTAAATTCAAATTCTAATATTTTAAGGGGCTTGTTAGGGTTTTAAAAAAAATTGAAATGCCATCTACCTGAGGAACATTCAGCCAGGAGTGACTGATGTGACCACTCAGTAATTCTGGCCTTAGCATCTATGGCTGAGCTGTGAGATGTCACATTATAGTCCAGCAAATATTAATAACTTTCCAAAATCAGAATGCCACAAAATGTATATTGGTTCTTTCCACAGAAGCCTCCCTGCGTCACTTCTATACATTTTCATCTCATTCTGTTCTTTCTTGTACCGTGAAGCCTGGGGTACACACATGCTCCTGTGACAGATTTATTTATGGTTCTGCCCAGCACTGATTTCTCTGAAAACCAAAACAGGGTCTGGGAAGGAAAGATGAGGTAGGTTGGACAGCTGTGTCTGAAGCCTGATTGCAGTTCAGCTGGGTCAAGTTATTTTGACCCTTCCAGTCCACTGAGCCATGCTCACCTCAGGGCCACCCCTGCAGTGTTGCTGATCTGCTTAAGTGTCCGCGAGAGGTTTTGAGCTGAGTTCAGCAGCAAAATTGAAAGGAAGAGTTCTCTCCTCTCATCACTCACCCCCACATATAAGAGCAAACTACTTATCCTTGGTTTCTGTCCATTTGCAAATTGATAAGCATCACACACATCCTTTAAAATAGCAGCCTCTGGCGGGGTGCGGTGGCTTACACCTGTAATCCCAGCACTTTGGGAGGCCAAGGCAGGTGAATAACCTGAGGTCAGGAGTTCAAGACTAGCCTGACCAACATAGTGAAACCCCATCTCCACTAAAAGTACAAAATTAGCTGGGCATGGTGGCAGGTGCCAGTAATCCCAGCTACTCGGGAGGCTGAGGCAAGAGAATCACTTGCACCCGGTAGGCAAAGGTTGCAGTGAGCCAAGATCGCGCCATTGCACTCCAGCCTGGGCAACAAGAGCGAAACTCCATCTCAAAAAAACAAAACAAAACAAAACAAAAACAGCCTCTGAGAGCCACAGGAGGAGTTTTAAATACAATGAGGTCACATGAAATAATAATTTAATAAGTGTTTTAGTTCCTTCCAGAAATGACAACACATAATACTAGTTTCCAAAAAAGTCATTAATAGAAATAATGAAAAACAGGCTGAAAAAAAGCACCTTGTTTCTTTCCACTATTTAGTTTTTAAAAAGCATTTTCTAGACATTCTAGAAATTCTGCTTCTCAGGACATGAGGTTGAAATGGACGCCTGAAATTTGAATGAGCCGAAGGCCTTTTCCTGAGGGTGGAGTGATAAGAATGTTTTGCCGTGATAACTATCTCTTTCAATTTGGTATAACCTGGTTGTCTTTAAGTGTCTTCCAGTAACATCTAGAGCAACAAGCCTAGGAAATGTACCCTACAAGTTAAAAATTCCTGGGCTGACTTCACGTAGATGACATTCTCTCTCATCTATCTGAAAAACAGGAATGATGACATTTGACTTGTCTTAACCCAGTCCAGCAGGAATGCTGGGAGGTACAACAGCATGCAGTGTTTATTTTTCCTGTTGCTTTGCATTTCAGTATCCTTGCCATCTTCTCTATATGAGCTGATATCACAGTGAAAGATCATCACACCCTGCCAGGCATTTTGCTAGAGGTGCATAACATGTTACCTTGCAGGTAAATTTCATAGCTTCCAGCCGGAATTGCTTTTTTGGAAAATGAAATTTTTCCAGGAGAAGATAAGAAAAGAAAACTTAAATAATTAATATTAAGCAATTTTAACAGCTTGAGGAAAACCAAAGATTATAACCTGTGATGAGATGGTGCAGCAGATATGGATTGATTGATTGATTGATTTAGAGACAGAGTCTCGTTCTGTCGCCCAGGCTGGAGTGCAGTGGTGCGATCTAGGCTCACTGCAAACTCCACCTCTCGGGTTCAAGCGATTCTCCTGCCTTAGCCTTCTAGTAGCTGGGATTACAGATGCCCACCATCACAGCCAGCTAATTTTTGTATTTTTTTCAGTGGAGATGGGGTTTCACCATGTTGGCCAGGTTGGTCTCAAACTCCTGACCTCAGGTGATCCGCCCACCTCGGCCTCCCAAAGTGTTGGGATTACAGGCGTGAGCCACTGCGCCTGGCCTGGATGTGAATTTTTTAGCCACCTGCAGCCTCTAGGATTAGGCAGATTGAGAAAACAAGATGTCACCATTAAAGCCAGAACTTAGACATTTCAAGGACATTATGAACCTCACTCACTTGTGAAGTACCTCTGATGCTCCAACTTCAAGATGGGCAGATTGTGGAGAAATAAATATTTCCCTAGTCATTGTGATTACATTCCTCATGGACCTTCTCTGGTGCTGATATTGAAATAATACACAAGTTGTCAGTACCCTTCAATTCTGTTGGTCAAAAATAGGTTTTTCCTGTTTCATTTATTTATTTTTCCTTTAAAATGAACATATACTTCCAACATAGAAGTTGTAACCTTTATGTTTAACCAAGTTTCCAGTTGAAGCCAGTTTGGGGCGTGTGTGTATATATACACACACTGATTTTAAATATATATATATATATATATAGTATGTGTGTGTGTGTGCAGTTGAGCTGGGACCTTTTTAGTGGTAAAAAAAAAAAAGTAAGTTTTAACTAAAAAACATTGTCTTCTTTCCATCTAGCTATTTTAGGCTAAGAGAAAAATGAGACACTAATTACAAAAACCGTGTAGTTTAATTTCTGTTTTGCAAAAGAAGCAGTAGACACTTAATATAAATGAATTCAAACTAGAAGCCACTAAGACATTTACTTCCTTCCTTCAGTTAAATATATTGGGTATTTGCCTCACTGTTTTATAAGTATGAAAATATGTGTCAAATTAAGGTGTCGAATTGCACAGCTCTGGTAACTGGAGACAGGGGAGGTAGAACAAGGAGTTGACTTTCTGATAAAGGTCTTGGTGTCAATTTCTAATAATTATACATGGGTGACCCCTAAAGTGAGGCTGACTTGAGTTCACAGCAGCCCTACCTAATGGTACGTGTGCACCATTAGGCCATCTTAGTTTCCTCCCTTGTTATAGGTAGATAAAACAGTATCTACTGTAAGATTGCTGGGAAGACTAAGTAACATAATCAATGTAGAGTTTCTCCATATGTATGGCACATATCAACTGCTCTACAAACGGTAGCTACAGTTAATATTCAACTCAACTCTAAGACCTTGGGCGAATCCCTTAATTCCTCTGACCCTTGGCCTCTGTATTTGTAAAATAAGAGTACTGTTTACTCTACCTGGCTACTTACCCATGGTATTGTCATGAGGATCAAATGAGAACATGTCTTAAAAGGACTTTTAAAAATGAGTAGTTGGCCAGGCACGGTGGCTTACACCTATAATCCCAGCACTTTGAGAAGCCGGGGTGGGTATATCACTTGAGGTCAGGAGTTCAAGACCAGCCTGGCCAACATTATGAAACCCGTCTCTACTAAAAACACACACATTAGCCAGGCATGGTGATGGGCGCCTGTAATCCCAGCTATTTGGGAGGCTGAGGCAGGAGAATTGCTTGAACCCAGGAGGCAGAGGTTGCAGTGAGCCAAGATTACACCATTGCACTCCAGTCTGGGTGACAAGAGCAAAACTCCATCTCAAAAAAAAAAAAAAAAAAAAGAATAGTTAAAATAGTTAAGAAACCAGTTAGAAGGCAAAGCTGTACATAGCATGACACAATGGAGAACATTACAAGGTTGTGTGTGGGCATATAAGGTTTAGAGAAAAGCAATGGTAGACCCTTAGGGAAAGAAGGCTATTATAGCATAATATTGGGGGACACTCCATATAGAGGAGGGGGAGGGTATTCAGCTGAGCCTTGAAGATGACAGAAGGCGGCTGGGGCAGGTGACTCCTGCTTCCACTGGCACCTCCTGTTGGCTGATCTTTGCGGTCTCATCTGTCATTTCAGGCTGAGCTCATTGGAAGCCTCACCCACAAGCTGGAGACCCTCCAGGAGGCGAAGGGGAGCCTGCTGATGGACATCAAGCTCAACAACGCTCTGGGAGAAGAGGTGGAGGCTCTGATCAGCGAGCTCTGCAAGCCCAATGAGTTTGACAAGTATAGGATGTTCATAGGGGATTTGGACAAGGTGGTCAACCTGCTGCTCTCCCTCTCAGGGCGTCTAGCCCGTGTTGAGAATGTCCTTAGCGGCCTTGGTGAAGATGCCAGTAATGAAGAAAGGGTAAGTGGCCTCGTGATACAGTTCAACAGGTTCTCCCTCAGAGCCCACATACATAGAGAGGTGCCATTAGACGCCATCCTTTCTCTCAGGAGGATTTGTGGCAATATGTTTGGGGCAGGGAGAGAATACATATATAGGTAACCAAGAAACAGAGAAGGCATTTTCTGTGTCAAGATATAATGCTGGCTGGGTGTGGTGGCTCATACGTGTAATTCCAGCATTTTGGGAGCCCAAGGCAGCCCTAGCCAAGATGGTGAACCAACATGGTGAAACCCCGTCTCTACTAAAAATACAAAAATTAGCCAGGCACCATGGTGCATGCTTGTCATCCCAGCTACTCGGGAGGCTGAGGCAGGAGAATCACTTGAACCTGGGAGACAGAGGTTGCAGTGAGCCGAGATTGCACCGCTGCACTCCAGCCTGGGCGACCACCTCAAAAAAAAAAAAAGATGTAATACTGACACTTAAGGTTCACGGAATTTTTGGGAAAGTGAAAACCACAGGCACCAGAGTTTCTTTCCTCCCAACTGTCTTCCTTCCTTTCTTTCAAAAAAAGATAAAAACATGATGAGTACATTGAAACAGGGAGGGGGCAGGAACACAGGCTCAAGGCTCCAGGGTATCTTACAGGAGGGGCCACAGGCACTCAATGAGGATGCACCGGGGTGTCTTCACTGCACCCCCTCCTTGAAGGGAGGGTACAGGGGGACAGGTAACAGTGCTGACCCCGCTGGAGACAGTTCACCAAGACCTTCCACCTGTCAGGCACTGCAAGTTTATGCGCAGTCTCATGGAATCCTCACAACAGCCCAGTGGGGGAGCTAGGATAGGAGTCCTACTGCAGACCCCAAGTTGTATCACTACATTGAACAGAATTCCAGAGCTACAGAGCATTCTTCGTCTACTCATCTGTACAGCAAATAGTTAGTGGAGGTCTCGTGTGCGTCACTTAGTGGACTAGGCACAACTGGGATACATTTGTGAGCAAAGCAGACAGATCCTACCTTCCTGATACTGAACAACAAACAGTAGACACAATTATTTTATATATATGTGCACAGTGTGTGCGTGTGTGTACATACATGCTAGAAGATGGAAAGTACTCCAGCCATGAAAAGGGGCTCCTTTTCTTGTCTATGCTACCATCTTTTTCTTTTTTTTTTGTTTTTGAGACGGAGTCTCACTCTGTCACCCAGGCTTGAGTGCAGTGGCGCAGTCTAAGCTCACTACAACTTCTGGCTCCCGGGTTCATGCCATTATCATGCCTCAGCCTCCCAAGTAGCTAATATTATAGGCGCACACCACCATGCCCAGCTAATTTTTGTATTTTTAGTAGAGACGGGGTTTTCCATATTGGCCAGGCTGGTCTTGAGCTCCTGACCTCAGGTGATCCACCCGCCTTAGCCTCACAAAGTGCTGGGATTGCAGGCATCAGCCACCGCGTCCAGCCTACCATACCATCTTTCTTTTTCATTGCTCTCATGGATTCTCCAATAATTTCTAATATATTGCATTAAAAGGAAAGATGTCCTTTTTCAAATAGATTTTAAAAGGATTAGAAAAAGTCTGGATCCTAATCATTTAGGAAAGTGACTCAGCATTTAGGAACTCTGCAGCACCACTCTCAGCATCTACCTCATGTCAATGTGCTGAGTCAGCTTCCTTATCTAGAAATTGTCTGATACTACCTAACTCAGAAGTGTGTCCTTTCCTCCTTTCTTCCACTCGACAAACAGCTAACAGTAGCCTGTCAAATATGAGGTGCTGTGTCTGCTGGGGACAAATGCTGACTAAGACACTGGCCCTGCTCTCCAGGAACTCACAAGTTATGGAGGAAAGCAGCATGCAGGAGCAATTGTGTGCTGGTGCTGAGCATAGTGAGAAACAGCCACCAAACACTTCTTAGTTGGGGGAGTGTAAGGCAGGAAGGACTTCACACAGTGGCACATGAATACAGTTTAGAAGAACATCTTAATTCTAAGAGGACTGAGAGGTGAAGGGCCTCACCATTTAGAAGAAATACCATGGATAAAGTCAAGAAAGAGATGCCATATTTAAGAACTGATTTGCATGTGGTTTGGTATGTCTAGAACATACAGTGATTGCTTCGTTGGTTTGTTTTTAAAAATAGTGAGCTAAGGCTGGGCGCAGTGGCTCACACCTGTAATCCCAGCACTTTGGGAGGCCAAGGCGGGCAGATCACGAGGTCAGGAGTTTGAGACCAGCCTGGCCAACATAGCAAAACCCCGTCTGTACTAAAAATACAAAAATTAGCCGGGTGTGGTAGCGCGTGCCTGTAATCCCAGCTACTTAGGAGGCTGAGGCAGGAGAATTGCTTGAACCTGGGAAGTGGAGGTTGCAGTGAGCCAAAATCACACCACTGTACTCCAGCCTGGATGACAGAGCAAGACAGTCTCCGGAAAAAAAAAAAAAAAAAGTGAGCTATAGGAATATTAGAAACTGACAGAAAGTACATGGCCCCATCAAAAGGGATAAAGAAGCAAGTTCAAAGAAAGTATGGGAAGGATTAAGGGGGAAACCAGGAAAGGGTAATGAGGGCTCCTCCCCTTGTCTCTCACCCAGAGCTAGCATCAGCAGCAAAGCCATTATCGGCCTCTTTCTGAAGGAGCAAGGGGAAGGGAGCCCTGATCAGAACCATAGCTGTAGCTGCCCTACAGCACTGAGGCCCTGGTGAAAGAATGCAACTGCCACTAACTCGAAGCCTGGCACAGAGGCAGCCAGGGATACATGCCACAATTTCTTTTTGCACTCTCCAGTCTTTTCCATCACTCCCCGTGGTCAAATCCAGACAGCAAGGGAGCCCAGTGGATGCAACCCCTAGAGTTCAGATTGCCTCAGCACAGGGCAGAGGAGAGTGGACCTGGAGAGGCAGACACAATATCCAGCACAGAAAATCATCACAAAGACCTTACTGCAGTCATACCCTAGACTTTAGACTTCAGCCTGTAGGTCGGGAAGAGTCATGAACTAACTTCGTGACTTAGCCTGGGGAGGGGCAAGATTGATGTTAAAATAACAGTTGGGAGGCTCATTGTAATAGTCTAGACAAGGAGGTTTTATGCTATTGATGTAGACAATTGTCCTGGGGATAGAGAAGAGGGAATAAATTAGAGAATGAATTTGGATTAGCAAGGGGCATGTTAGATGAGGGGAAGGGTAGAGCAGAAAATAATTCCAAGTTTCCTATTGGGCCACCTGGATGAATGCTCTAGATATCTGAGATAAGAAAGACTAGAGAAGTTTCTAGTTAGGGCAAGATAAATTGTTCTAGAACTGAATTAAATTCAACACTTACATGCACGCCTCCATTCTTAAATACAAGTAAGTTTGCTCACTTGATTTTATTCTCAGCTTGGTCGCTGTTGGTATATAGCAGTGCTACTTATTTGTGTACGTTGATTTTGTATCCTGAGACTTTACTGAATTCATTTATTAGATGTAGGAGCTTTTTGGATGGTCTTTAGGGTTTTCTAGGTATGGGATCCTATCATTGGCAAACAGCAACAGTTTGACTTCCTCTTTACCAGTTTGGATGCCATTTCTTTCTCTTGCCTGACTGCTCTGGCTAGAACTTTTAGTACAATGTTGAATAGCAGTGGTGAAAGTGAGCATCCTTGTCTTGTTCCAGTTCTCAGGGGGAATGCTTTCAACTTTTCCTTGTTCAGTGTAATGTTGGCTGTGGGTTTGTCTCCTCAATTACTTTGCCTAAAATGTCTGAATGGTTAAATATAAATTTTTTTGAATTTAAAAATGATATTATGTGTCAGCATGTTGGACAGAGAACCACATTAAAGATAACGTATGCTACAGTATCACAGAGAAGCATAAGAAACTCTTAGAGTATGACATTGCCATCATTGTTCAACAGAATTTCTCTCATTTTAGATTCAGAGGCCTGCAAAAGAGAACTGAAAAAATAGAAACTGACTTCTTTAGAGATGGGAAATATGATGATCATCTCATTGTTATTATGAATTAGGGAGAGGTTCTCAAACTTTAGCCCCAAAAGAATCATCTGGAAGCCTTGTTAAAACAGGTTACTGGGCCTCACCTCCAGAGTTTTTTATTCAGGAGGTGGAAGAGGGCCTGAATCCTTGCATTTCTAACAATTTCCCAGGTGATGCCACTGCTGCTGGTCCAGCAACCACACCTTGAGAACCACCATATTAGTGTATATACTCAAGGTACCGTGATTTTTTTGGGTTTTTTTTTGGTTTTTTTTGAGACAGAGTCTCACTCTGTCACCCAGGCTGGAGTGCAGTGGCATAATCTCGGCTCACTGCAACCTCCGCCTCCTGGGTTCAAGCAATTCTCATGCCTCAGCCTCTCAAGTAGCTGGTACTACAGGCATGCACCACCATGCCTGGCTGATTTTTGTATTTTTAGTAGAGACGGGGTTTCACCTTGTTGGCCAGGCTGGTTTTGAACTCCTGGCCTCAAGTGATTCACCCGTCCCAGCCTCCCAAAGTGCTGTAATTTCAGGCGTGAACCACCATGCCCAGCTGATTATTGGTTTTAAAGTCAAGAATCCGAAAGCAATTTTATCCCCAATTTAATGTAACACCTCTCAAACTGAAGCTACCCTATGATGTTATAAACTAGAGAATGCTGTAATATGTAATATAAGGATAATAAGCTGATTTTCAAAAAGTTAGCCTCCTTACTTAGGAGTGACAATAGGATTAGAGCTTAGATATTTCCCAGTTCTGTCAGAGGTGTCCTTGCAGGGAGTCTGGCTCTTTTCTCCTTTTCCCTGGCCCTCATTGATCTGTCCGATTTTCCCTGGCAGAGCTCTCTCTACGAGAAAAGGAAGATCCTGGCTGGTCAGCATGAGGACGCCCGGGAGCTGAAGGAGAACCTGGATCGCAGGGAGCGGATAGTGCTGGGCATCCTGGCCAATTACCTTTCAGAGGAGCAGCTCCAGGACTACCAGCACTTCGTGAAAATGAAGTCCACGCTCCTCATCGAGCAGCGGAAACTGGACGACAAGATCAAGCTGGGTCAGGAGCAAGTCAAGTGTCTGCTGGAGAGCCTGCCCTCAGATTTCATTCCCAAGGCTGGGGCCCTGGCTCTGCCCCCAAACCTCACGAGTGAGCCCACTCCTGCTGGGGGCTGTACTTTCAGTGGTGTTTTCCCAACATTAACCTCTCCACTTTAACCTCTTCTAAAATACCCAACCAAAAGATCACTGTTTCTCTCAACACTATTTAATCTGAAAAATGTTTCAGTACAAACCACTGTTTGAACTATCTGGGTTACTGGTGTTTGTTCTGGATGAAAGGAACAAAATTCTCTCCAGGAGGAAGCCTTTTTCCTTCTTGCCCTTCCTGATTGATCTTCTGAGAGCTCGAATGCTGCTGGACACGTACCCCTTTCTATTATTACTTTGTAGTAGAAAGAAAGTTAATGAAACTGAGAACTGATTGGAGGGTGTTTGATCATTTAGCTTTTAACAGGCTGAGGCAACATGGATCAGTGTGTGTCCCCCTCAGGAATGTATCCACAGTGGCCTTCCTTGCTGGTGGGCAGTGTATCCTGATGGCAGGGTACAAGTACCATTAATGAAGTGTCTGCAACATAAAGCCTTAAAAAGACACACACTAAGAAAACTGTAAAACCTTGAACATTGTTATTTATATTTTTTAAAATGGGAAAGATCATTATGTTTGTTGTGCTAACCACTTACTTGATTCTGTTTTGTGGTGGACGTAGACGATTACGTTTGAGCTTTGTATTTTGTGAAAACCTTAATGAAATGAATTCCAAAGATAGTCACGTTGAGCGTGCAGACTTTTTCTTAACATTCCTGTCTTATTTTTACAAACACAAGCAGGCATTCTGCACTTCCACTGGACCGAGTATGGAGGAGTCCTGTTCCCCTGCTCTTTTCCTGTATCACACCTTCCCCAGGAGGAAGGCCTCATGCACTGCGGTTATTGCATCATTTCCTAGTGCTTCATGTCATTATCACTGGTGGGGAAACAAAGCTAAATTTTATTAAGAAAGACAACAACTCTCAGACCTATATCATAGGAGGAGGACATCCAGAATCCAACAAAATTCAAAACCCATGCTGTTCTCCTGAACAAGGTTTGGGCTAAACACAGCCTGTTTATTGAGACTGTTTTAATGATGCTTTAAAAAAAAAAGTTTTCTAAAACGTCAAACCTGTCAACCACACTTTGATTAAGAACTCCCTCCTTAACCTCTGAAGACTGATTTTGCTTTATGGTGTTTCAATAATAACGTTTCAGAGATTACTCTGTAACTCCAGTTGTAAGCCTATAGAAACGAAGTGGAAGGCTGAGGAGTTATGGGCTGGCAGCCAGGCTATGTTTACAGCTACTGGAGATAGCAGTAGCCTAATACTTTGAGCAGATGGTACATCCTAGGCTGTGCTGTAGGTAGATTTGTTATTTCACGTATGATCTGTGGCTGGTGGCCACCTTTGTTGATTTGGGCTTACGAGTTTCATGGTAGCCAGTGTTAGAAAATTGGGGGAGTAAAATTTTGCAGTAAAAAAAATGACAAGGGAACCAAATGTCCCTTCTCCCCTTAGTACATTTTAATTACTTAATGAAGTTTTATCTCCTAGGTAAGAATATCAAAATTATAGTTTGGGTCTCCAGTAGAGATGTGTTTTGATTAACTTATAAACAACTGGCCACCCAGAAGTTTCCTTTGCATAGTCAACCAAAGCTATGGCTTTGTTCTTTGGAGCTTATATACTGTGTGACTCCATTGATACAAATAAGACAGCACCTTGGTTTTCCAGGGGTGTTTTCATTCAGAGGTCCTGTCTCCCAGGGAAGCAGTAGAACCAGTGACAGCATTCAATAGCCACACTGCATGGTCATCAGTCTTAGGCCAACATGGGCCTGAAATTAACTCCATCAGTAACTACCTGTGTGTCTTGCTGATACTGAATGAGCCCTCACAAGCCACGCCAGGTGGAAGCCAGTCAGCAAACACCTACAGCTATTCTTAGTGAAATTCCTCAGAGGAATCCAGGGGGCTCCCAGTTCCCAACACTCTTCAAGATTACCATTTTTCACAATTTGACTGGGGAACATTTTACATATTCAGTCTTTCTCAATAACTTTTATTTATTTTCTTGAGAAAGGGTCTTACTGTGTTGCCCAGGCTGGAGTGCAGTGGTGTGATCACAGCTCATTGCAGTCTCAGCTTCTGAGGCTCAAGCCATCCTCCCATCTCAGCCTTCCGAGTAGCTGGGACCACAGGTGTGCACCACTATGCCTTGCTAATTTTTTTATTTTTTTGTAGAGACGGGGGTCTTGCTATGTTGCCCAGGCTGGTTTCAAACTCCTGGGCTCAAGGGATCCTACCACTTTGACCCCAGAAGTGCTGGGATTACAGGCATGAGCCACTGCACCCGCCACTTTTCTAATTTATAGACGTAAAAGTAATTGACTCCCACAGCACAGTAACAGGCAATGCTGCTTGGCATGCCACAAACATCAGAAAGCTTGTGACATTCCTAGGATTGTATCCATTCTTTCATTACATGGAAACATTGTTCTGTTATGTGAAATGGGTAAGGCACCAAGTGAGACTTTGAAATACAATTTTTAGGTGAATGTGATATTTATTGTAGTAGGACTTGACCTCTGTGCTTTAAAGAAATCACTAACCAAAATTTCAAAGTTTCATTTTAAATGCGTTTAGCTAGAAATCTATGTATTTATCCCTTTCCCATTTTGCATTCTTCTCCCACTATTTTTAAAATGTCATTTACAGTAGAAACCATCCTTCTTTCTCCCAACAGTATCCTTTGCCAAGACCATGAAAACAGTCAGGAGCATGTTGGTGGTCAGGGTTTCAGAACACGTGTGATGTCGCTGAGAATGTTTGTTCACAGTCAATAATTGTCTCTGTGGATGTGATCATTTTGGAGATATACTTCTGGTCAGAAGTCAGGTGAGATAATCTTGCAATACTCCAAATGCAGATACTCTAGCCACCTGCAAGGTTCCAGGAAAGGACAATGTCCTGCGAGAAAATCAGGAGGCCTCCACTTCCTGGGCCACTTGAAAAGTTCCTGGGCACGTCACTACATGTTGGCTGACTCAGCCATTTCTCATGCTGTTTTGTTTCTTGCGGTGGCCACTTAACCCCAAAGAATGAAGGGAGGATCCACAGTGAAAGTGCCTGAGTTTCTCTACGAGACGAGACGGTGTCGAAACCAAACATCTTTTCCTTTGCTGTAGGGGAACATTTTAGGGTTTGTTTTGCACAGCTGGTTTCCAGACTAGAAGATTAACAAGTGTGGATCCACCCCTAAGAATCAGTGGCTGTCTTTTAAGGTGAGGAGTGTGGGCTTAACTGAGGTCCTTTGAGGGAGCTATAAAGGAGCAACAGCCTGGGACATCCCAGTTTTCCTATTCCTCCACTGTTAATATCTCACCTAAAATAATTCATGAGTTTAAATGGTAAATATATGCTTTAAGCTCTACCTTTAAACTCGTATGTTATTCAGGCATCTCTTATTAAGATACTGGGTCTCTGGATACCCAGGGAAATGTTGGCTTTTTATTCTTACATGGTTCCAAATTTACTTGTCTTCAGTTTAATTGTCCATTTTAGTGCTGGCTTCATTGTTAGGTTGGAGTTATTATTTTCCTTTTGGAACAACATGAGTTTTATTCACCTTACTATTAGAAAAAGGAAGAACTACAGCCAGAAATAACTTCATTTCCTAACAAGGTATAAAAAGTGGTCAGGTGAATGTCAATGGGCTCTTCTACACAGGAATAGATTATTGGAATAAAGTATTTCCTGCTGCCTTAACTCTTTGGGATGCATAGGATAAAATTATAAAGACCATTTTAATATCAGAAAGGGTTGTCTTACTAATTTCTAAATAAAACTTCACATTTCTTAATGGGGAGCTCATTCAGAAACGAAATCTTGGTTTCTCAAAGTGTGGTCAGGATACCATCTGCATCAGAATCCTTGGAATGCTTGTTAAAAATTCCAATTGCTATGACATAACCAAGTCTGCTGGAATCTGCATTTCGGCAAGTTTCCCATGTTATTCTGATGTATTTTAACATTTGAGAGCCACTGCCAATCATCTGTACAGTTCCTACTGTTATGATCACAATAAGACTAACATGAATTTAATAATCTGAATAATTTTTTAAATTTAAATAAAAAACTGAGAAATTGAAGTTAATTTAAAAATAAAAATAACCTTAGAAGTTGAAAGTCCTGTCATATTTATTCTATTAGCTATATAATTATAAGTTTATACTGTCTCCACTACTTTTATGTAATCGCCAAGGTTGTGATACAGATTTTGTCCCCTGTTCACTCTTCCCTAGATCTGTTTTAAACAAGTTATGCACTTATTCCGATTTAATTGCACTAATTATTTTTACTCAAAAGGAATCAGTTTTATCACACGTTGCCAGTAATTTTAAGTTCTGCCCTGACTGAAATTAATCAACTGGCCTTTTCAGTGGGAACTTTACTGATTCAGTGGGAATCAGATTCCTGTTGCTTCATCACAAATTTTATCCTTCATATGAATTAGAACCTCTCCTAGTGTGGATTTGACAATCTAGCTAATGAAACAAGACTGTGTTCATTTCCTTTGAGAAATGAAAGCAGCTGTCACCCAATTTTGAAACTCTAAAATCAAAATTAGGCAAGAAAAAAGTTGTGAATGAAAAAACTGCCTCACTGATTCCTACTTCATTCTATAAATTATTCTCTAAGTGGAAAGGCAGCTGTATTTCTTGCTAAGACATCAGCATTGCTATTGCTTTACAGTAGGTTGAACGGGGGAAATATAATTTATATAAAGAGTTATTCTGATAAACGAGTGACGATAGGACATAAGGAAATTCTGTCTGGTATCCTAGAGTTAAGGAAGAGTACTCAAGGAAAGACAAGCTGGGAAAAAGTCCCAACCCTGAGGTTCAGACCTCCTTGGAGAACTGAACTCGACCCACATAGCAGGGAAGTTAGCTGGTTTGCCCAGGCTGGAACTGCTCTGCAGTCCCTGAGCACATAGGAAACAACTCTCCAGAGTGCAGGCAGGGTCAGTCCACCAGCAATCAACGGCCTGGCTGTGCACAGGGAGTGAGGGCCTGCAGCAGGTGTGACTCATCAGTGGGAACCCTCCAGGTCACAGGTGATCCGCACAGGATCTGCAGAGAGTGAGGAGCCAATGTCGGCGGAAGGCTTTCCGGGCACTGATCCTGCAGGAATCTTTCAGGGCTCAAGTTTGTAATCCACAGGCCCAGGAGAAGGTTATGGCCAGAATGAGGCTGCAAGGTCCCAAGGCACCACCAATTGTAGGCAGTGGTTGGAGCAGAACTCCATCAAATGTCCTCACACCCATACCACTGACCCATCAGGCAGCAGCCACCAGCGGCCCCAACAGCGCCCCCTATGGAAAGAGCTTAACATCGTGCTGACTGTAAAGGAGAGATGCTTAAAAGGACCCTGCCCATCACCACAGACACTTGATTGAAGGGTTAATCCGGAGCTGAGAGCCAATAAATTGATAGCTGTCACAGACATATTGTTCTACATATATACCCTGGCATTATCTTCTGATGTCACATATAATTTTGTAGTTGCTGATTCTGTAAGAACCATTCCTCAGAAAATAAACAGTGCTTATAAAATGGACAACATATCTCTTGAAGGAGGTGTCACATGGAAAGCAGTTTCTCATTTATGTTTTCTTTAAATGTGCTCCATACACCTATATTACTCCAAGTATCTAAAGAAACAGATTTAGATTCAGGCCAATTTAAGAGCATGTCTAAGGTTTGTTTCTGTTGAGGTCTCTCTCTGCTTAGCTCTGTCTCTGTATACCTCTGTATGTGTCTATGTCTCTCTTGGTGTGTCTCCACGTATGTTTTTCTCTATCCCAACATCTGCAACTGTCATACTTTCCTGCTCATTTATTCCCAAAATGATTCATATTTATACATGAAGTTCAGTGGTGCAAGCATAGCTCACGACAGCCTTGAACTCCCGGGCTCAAGTGATCCTCCTGCTTCAGCCTCTCAAGTAGCTGGGACCACAGGCATGAGCCACCACACCTGGCTAATTTAAAATATTTTTGGCAGAGATGGGGTCTCCCTATGTTGCCCAGGCTGGTCTCAAACTCCTGAACTGAAGCAGTCCTCCTGCCTCAGCCTCCCAAAGTGCTGGGATTACAGGCGTGAGCCACCATGCCCAGGTGTGTTTTGTTTTGTTTTTAATTTGAAAGAAAAATTAAGAATCTCACCTCAAGTAAAAAAAAAAAAAATCTAAAGATGTTGCAAGATTGTTTATGTGTAAGAATGAATGAGAGCTATTCCTCATCTCTAATTAGAACAGAATATAGGAATTGGCTTTATTTTGTAGTGATAATAATTGATTTGATAAAAAAGGAACAACTCAAAGACAGCTCATGAACACCGGAATGATAATTTTAAAAGGCCATCTTCCCTCAAAGATTAAAAGAAAAAAAAAAAGAAATGGAATACCTAACCTTGTACACAATGGTTTAGAGCAGATTTATTAAAAGGCAGGAAGGTAGTCTGATGTCCCTTCCAGTGAAAGCAGATAGGCAGAAAAGGAACTTAAGCTTAGGATATGAAGAACAAACAACATCTTCCAAGTTGCCTCAGAAGGTCAACCTCAGTTTGATAATGTATCACTGAATGTGTTTTTTGTTTGTTTTTTGGTTTTTGTTTTGTTTTGTTCTTTCGAGACAGAGTGAGCCCGTGCCTTTGGGAGGCCAAGGTGGGTGGATTATTTGAGGTCAGGAGATCAAGACTGGCCTGGCCAACACGCTGAAACTCTGTCTCTGCTAACAAAAAAAAAAAAAAAAAAAAATACAAAAATTAGCCAGGCATGGTGGTGCACGCCTGTGGTCCCAGCTACACTGGAGGCTGAGGCAGGAGAATTGCTTGAACCCAGCAGGCGGAGTTTGCAGTGAGATGAGATTGCATCACTGCACTTCAGCCTGGGCAACAGAGTGAGACTGTCAAAAAAAAAAAAAAAGGAAATCCTTCTTGCAAATGTCAGTTAAAAGCTAACTAAGGAGTAAAATGTGCTTAGGAAGAAGAAACTAAGAAAATCAATTTACAGTGTGGGGTTAATTAATGTGCCTCTACAGGTAGATGAGAGAGACGCATGTGTAGGGAGGGAGGTACAGCAGGAAATCTCTGAGTTCATCATTACTCTGGATGATTAAATATATGCATTCGCATAGCTAATTGAGAAGATATATGATATGTCTGCTAATAAAAGTACAACTACAGCTCTTCAGATCATACTGATCAGAAATCAGTAGCAAGTACCAAATAAAGACTTCTATCTATAGGAGATTTATGGCATTGAGCAAGATGGCCAGCTGGAAGCCCCTGGTGCTCGTCTCTCTCACAATGACCACCAGAACAATGAATAAACAACTACATTTTAACCAAAATAAGTGAGGGAGAGTGCCACAGTGCATCAGAGAAGTAACAGAAACCCCAGTGAGCAGAGAAATTCAGGATGGCCAAAGAGAATGGAAGGAAATCCTGGGCCTCTACTGTCCTGTCTCCTAACTGGGACTAGCTGGGAACCAGGAAGAACTTCTCCTTATGGTATGGAGGTAAGAGGACTCCATAAATCCCCATCAGCACCTTGGATATCTACAAACCTCATCACTGGGGTCCCCTGCGGTCCTCACAGGCACTCAGCCCAGCTGGGGGACCTGCCTGGAGTCCACATAGCTGTGCTCCCCAAGAGAAGGAGCGAACACCGTGCTGTGCCCCACAGCCCACGTGGCTACTGTGCTATACCACCTAGGAACTGAAACTACAGCTGGAGTGTGTCTTGCTCCAGGGGTGCATAGCCACAGCTCCCTTTCATCCCTGAGGCTAAGCTGCCACTTAACCACCCTATCCCGGTGACCTGACAGCCCCAAGCTGAGCTGCAAGTAGCTGTTACAGCCTTCCCATAGCGCCAAGCAGAGGTGGAGTCACTCCACCTACCCCTACCCCTGTCCTTTCAGGCCAGAGCTGAAGCGGCACCCTGCCTCCCTGCAACAGTACCTAAGCTGTTCACAGTAGTCATTCTTCCCCTATACTTAAGTTGCAGCAGCACCCTGCATCCCAAAAAATGATGCCTCGGCTATCACTCAGAGAGGCCATGCACCCTAGGACTTAACGCTGATGCAGTGTCCTGCAACTGAGGGAAATGGTCCCTGGGCCACCCAGAACAGTCATGCCTCCCAGTCCTGAAGCAGCACAGCCCCTGGGGAATTGGTGCCTTGGCCAAGCTGAGCAGCTGTGATCACAGGACTGAGCTGATGTAGTACCCCACGTCCCAGGGAAACAGAGCAGTGGTTGAGGTGAGACACCCTGTCCTACAGGCCAAACGACTCTAGTACCCTGTGCTTCCTTGGGGCTGGACTAGCTCCCTCAAGTCTGAACTGCTGAGATACCCCTCTTCTTGGGAAGTGAAGATATCACTTGCTGTTCCCTGCTCCCCCAAGGCCCAAATGACAGATGTGCTCCACCATTCTGGGATACTTGCTGCCACTGCACCTGGCCTCTCACTCTGGGACACTGCCGAGTCCCACCATCCCACGGTCTAGAGGAGGGGTATCCAATCTTTTGGCTTCCCTGGGCCACAGTGGAAGAAAAATTGTCTTGGGCCACACGTAAAATATACTAACATGATAGGTGATGACAGCTGACAGACTTTAAAAAAAAAACTCAATGTTTTAAGAAAGTTTATGAATTTGTGTTGGGCCACATACCAAGTCATCTGGACCACACGTGGCCACACACCATAGGTTGGACAAGCTTAGTTTAGAGTCACTACTACACAGTCACCTTATGGGACCTGAGTTGCCACTGAGCCCTATTGACTCGAGTTCCCAGATTGCAGGGATCTCCTGCTCCCCAGGCCCAAACCTCCGGAGCACCCTCGTTCTTCCTGAGTCTGGCCAGTGGTGTGCCCTGTACCCAGTGGAAGAACCATCACCACAACCCTGCCTCAGCTACAAGGGATGACTCGGAGTTACCGATTGTGGTGGTGTGGGCAACCTACATCCAACCCTGTCACAGAGAGCAAACCTACACCCCAAGACCCAAGTGCCACAATGGGTTTGTGAGACTCTGAGCCCTACAGCTGCTCTGAGCACCTGCACCTCAAACCCAGCGCTGGTGCAGCTGCTTGTAGACCATGTCACACCTGACAC